GTTGGTCGTCGTATTACATTTATGTTATTATCAGTTAGTATTGCATTTTGTATATTTTCAGCTCCAATGTCATTAATGCAAATAGTTCAAAGTATATCAAAACCTGGTTATAATCAAACATCATTAGCTATTGGAAAAGCTATAGCTGAATTATGTCAATATATAAATCATTCATGTAATTTTTTCTTATATGCTTTATCAGGAAGAGTATTTCGTCGAGAATTTGTTCGATTATTTTTTCCAACACGTTTTGGTGGTGGTGGTAGTGGTCGCGGTAATGTTTGTGGTGGTGGTACTGCACGTATAGGTCTTAATGGACGTGGATGTTTATTACCACAAGGAGTACATTCATCAAGTCGTCGATTTTCACTTTATTCAATTGATAATAATCGTCAAAGTGTTTATCGTACATCTCGACGTTTAACAACATTTTCATTAAAACAATATAATAATCAAACAAATCGACAATATAATCAATCATTTACAGTTAAATCACCATTATTATTTGATATTAATAGTCCATTACCAATAAATAGACATTACAATAAAACTTATGATAAATCACCAATATTAATAAATAGAAATTCTATTGAAAATCGTCGATTATATTCATTTTGGAATTTATTCAATAGAAAAAAACAACGAGAACAAATTGGTGATAGACCATTATTATTTGTAAAAATTTTAAAACCAACTACTAATCATATTTGAAATTTATATTAAATATCAAAAAAAAAGAAAACAAATATAAACAGATATTTTATTTATTTCTAAAGAAGTCTCTTTTTTTTTTGTTTTTGTTTTTGTGTCTTCTAAATTTAAATAAACAGGTCAACAACAAACAAAATATTAATATAGAAATTTCTATGGTTATTATATGATTAAATAAATTATTAATCTGATGTTATTTTTATACTTTTTTTTTGTTTTTTTCTTAATCTAATATTTAATCTGTCAATACGAGCTAATAACACTTGACTAGTATGAAATGAAATCAAGCAAAAAATTACTGACACATCTTGAAACATTGAATATACATCATTTGTTTTTTGGAGAATTAATACATGCATCAAAAAATAGAAAATACGCAAAATAGATTTTTGCTCTAGATTGAAAATTTGATCATTTTTTTTATGAGATAACAACTGAAATCGAATGATACATGACTCTTTTTTGAAGTCAAATTACCAAATAAAAAGTGAATATTGACTATTAATGTAGTTAAACAATTTTATAATTATATTTCAAAAATGACACAAATTATATATCAAAATAATTATTTATAGTTCATCGAAAACTGTCAAATAACTTTTTTTTTTTTTGTATTTTATGAAATATAATCTAAAAGACATGTTGAAGTTAAAATTCGGTTCTCTATCTTCTCAGACACTTTGACACACATTGTTACATGATCATCGACTGATGTCTCATTATTACTTTCTTATTGCGTTTGTCAAAAAAATTAATTAAAAGGATGGCGAAGTAGTATTTCTTAGAATAAATAGAACGCAACGACCTATCGATGATTACTGACAGCAATTACATCATATTTCACACTTTATACCCTATAGACATTATGCTAACAGCTTTTTTTTGTATGTATATTGCAATAAATGACCGTGAAATAACATCTAATATAGGATTTAATTATTACCTAGTTTTACATGATTTCTAGGATAATACAGTCGATGTCAAAAGTATTTCTCCACTTTTTTGTTTTGAGTCATGTATTAAAACTACACAACATTAATTTAATTTCATTACATGTCTATATAGTAGACGTCAAGTACACCTGTTTAATATGAAAAACCTTTAAATATAAAATACAATAAAAAAA